GTGCCATTTTCATAAGGTCTTGATGCTAGTGCTTATTTAGTGGATAAAATATGACTACCCAGGATTTATAATGAAATTCAGAACACTGTGAGGCTGACATCACCTGTGAAATCAAAGGTTAAGTGGTTGCTTTGTCCTTATCTTGGGCTGCAGTTCTATATTTTCTTGCATGAGTTAAGTACAGAGCGTATTTAGTCTTAACTCAGCCTTGGTTATGACAAACTGCCAGAATCCTTGATATTCAAAGTAACTGATGCTAGTAACTAAACCAAACAGCATTAAATATTTCCTTTGTTGTTTGCCTGTGGCTTCTGGCCCTAGGGTGAATGACGTTCTGGGAGCCAGCGTGGTGTAGTTTCCTAATGCAAGTTTTGCGCACTATGCAGAAATAATTGGTAAATGTTCCTAAATACTTTGCAGATTCAATAAATGATAATAAAGTTACTTTGGAAAAAAATTCTAGCCCCCTTCGTCACAACCTTTGTTCTTAAAATTTATAAGTGAAATCTTTAAGTTATTACCGTGTGCATTAGTTGGCCCAGATCAACCACGCGTATTCCTGTTTCATAGAGTGTGTGTGTATATGAATGCATGTGTGTACTGCAGCTTTATGGACATGGTCTTTGATTCCCTAGGTAAAACTGGTTTTCTTTCGGTGTATATGCTGGCTCGGGATAGATGGAGGTAGGTGAAAAGGAACTTGGGATAAAGTGAAAATGAAACCATAATGTACGATTTTTAAAGCATAAGACAACCTATTTTATTTCTGACTGTCTTACTTGCTGCCTAGGATATAATGGCCCTGTCTTTTACTAATAATTGGGCTGAGAATAGTGTATTCCTTTTTGTCTTGAGCTTTTTATTTTCAAGTGAAATGAATTTGTATCTCTGTTCCTGTCCCTTCCCACCCCAAAATGCTGGCAGTTGACAAAACCCAGTAGTCCATGAATTTTGCACTCTAATCTTGAGCTAGGGTGGGTTTTGTAGATAGATTTCTAGAGGTTTGAGCTAAGGGATTTTTTCTGAGGAACAGAGAATGGTGGGGAAAGGGTTATTAAAGCTGGTGCCCATTACTGTGGAAGGAACCTGCTTAGCTCAGGAATTTTGGGCTCTGTCAATCACATCCCTGTATATAAGCTGGGATACTTTTACTCCATAAAAATTGTAGCAGGCTGGCCTTAGAAGTCTTTGTTGTAAAATTGAACTAGTTCTTTTCCCAGACACTTCTAGGTGCTCTGGTTGGGATCCTCATTGCTGTGCAGTGAGTGTGCAGTCTCGTCCTAGCAAGTATTGCCTCATGCTGCATAGATTTTTTTGCGAGGGTGCAGTTACAATAGAGTGACACTGCTGTTTTCCTTGCCATAGCTTCCTTCTCTTACCTCCCTTCTCGAGAGCTCTCTGCTGTAGATATTTTATAGGAAGGACCCCACTATTACTCGTGTCAGAGACATGATACAATTTCCCATTTAACTTCTATTTAACTTACTAAAATCAGAAGCATTTAAAATGATACGAGTCCAATAAGTAGAAACTACCCCAACCACAGTGGGGCTTTTGCTGTTCAATGTCTAGTTCTCCTCTGTGGAAGGTGTTACTCTGTTCTTCTGTTACTTAACTTTATCCACACCCGTGTGGTAGGCCCCTTTACTAGTCTACAAAGAGCTGCTGCTGCCTCCTTCCCCTGCATGGTCCTTGCAGGCTGTTCTTATGGCTAGGGGCTGCTATCATCTCACTAGTGACAGTGAAATTTTGTCCCTAAGGTAATATACTTTTATGCTTGGCAAATTTGAGACAGACAGGAGAGCCCCCCTCTCCTTAGTCTCAGAGTGGGTGCTAAAACTAGCCTCAGCTTTAGGTTAAGATCGGAGTACATTTCCCTGTGCATTCTGGATATTAGTATGCAAATTGTGAAATGCGCTCTTCTCACCCCACCATAAAAGTTTTCTGTACTAGATACTCATACTGGGACTGGAGAATAGTTTTTTACAGGCCTGGGGAGGAGAAATCATTTTCTACTAAGTTGAGATCAATAGGGATACAAGATTCAAGCATGTATTGTTAAATTGAAACACGTCTTCCATCACATTAACACAAACTTTTCCTACTGTGTACGACTGTTCACTGGTACTCTAGTCCCACACTGACAACAGTGGGAAAGGGAGAGGAAAAGGCAGTGGCAGCAGCAAATAAATCCTTGGTTAGGATTTTGTTGAATATTCCTCCCTCCCCATCAAGAAAATGCTCAGGGCTTTGACTGACTTCTACTTCAGTGGAAAAGCAGCCACAATCCCTGTTTTGGATTCGTTATTCCCTGATGATGATTCCCCTCATCAGTTCTTTCTAAGAAGTTACAGTTGGGAAAATATTCTCCTCCCACACTAGATTATACATTTGCTCATCTCCATGAGTTCCCCACTAAGAATACTGACTCAAACCTTTTGGGTTTGAAGCAGTTGTAGCCAACCCTAGCTCTGGCCATTTGGTGGAAGTGATCCAATGAGGGGCAGATAAACTTAAGAGTACAGTTTTATTGTCATGGGTTTGGAGGCCATGCTTTTGCTCTAAGGTTGACTGTGGATTAGGAAACAGGTAGACTTGCTCCCTCTCTTTTAAAGTATGTTAAGGCAATCCTGAACTGAAGGTGGTGCTGATGTGAAGTGTGCTGGCCATCTCTCCATGATAGAATGCTTACAGTTGGTAGAGGGGGAGACATTATCTACATCATTCATTGTAGTGTTACTTTTGTACTGTCATTCACATTAGTATTACTTGCCCTCACCCGCTTTTCCAAAACTAAGTGCCTCAGTGGGTTTGACCTTAATGAATTTTCTACCTTGAACCCTTTCTTGCATCTCTCTACATTTTGTCTGCTGCACATCCTCAAGCTGTCATAAAACTACCAAGCATTTAGTATTTTTTAGCTGTAGACTGCTTTACAGACCGTTTCTCCCTCTGTAAAAAGGGGGACACAACCAGATACTCTAAGCCTAGAGGAAAGGATGGGGCCTTGGTCACCCTAAGTCAGATTCAGAGGTGGGATAGAACATATAGCATCCTGTTTCTCTGTCCACTGGACTGTGTTGCTTACTACAGCAGCAGCTATTCTCAAATTGCTCAGGCTGCCTGTAGTAAGCACAACATGGCCAGAAACTACTTTTGAAAGCTAGCTTTGTGTTTGGTATTTAAAAAAAAAAACCCACCACAAAACCCCACTCTCCTGAGACAGCTGTGCTGCCAAAACAAGTATAGACAGGGCTTTCAGAACTCTTCATTCTAAGGATGAAATCTCACAGGCCTCTCCATCTGAAATATATGCAGATGAATTATTCCTTTGTCTGATTCTGTGTACATTCCCTTATCCAGTAGGTTACAGGGGAGAAATTCTGTATTCTACAGTAGACTGTGGTGATATGTGAAACCGAAAATAAAACTGCATTTCTTTCCCCAGCAGGAAGCTGGGAGAGCAGTAGAAGCGGTGTATGGTTTTAATAAATTGGTTAATTTTAGCACTGAGAGGCAAGTGACATTACTTTGAGCCTGGCTGTAGTTTTGCTTGAGAGCTCAGCGAAGGCAGTTCCAAATAAGAGAGAGCGCATTCTAAACTACGACCAGTTTGCTGTGGGACAGGTATTTCACAGGGCTAATGATTGCAGGTACGGCAGCTATTGAAAGTACCATGTTGGAGTAGGGAATATCTGAGTCATATGCAGTTGTTCCCGGGTTGGGATAATCACATTTGCCAAGGTTAAACTAGAGCCAGGTTAGTAGCTATTTAGCTGGAAAATCAAAACCACGCACCGTAGAGCTATCACCTATGTCTAAGGCAACTGAACACTTGATATAGTCCATGTTCATTGCTTTGCTTTTTAAAGGGTTTTCTATCATTTTAATTTAGCCTTTCTCCTATTTACAGTTGACCCTCCTTAGATCCCCTAGGCAGACTGCAGCTAATATCCATTTGTTCCCTTGTGGCTAGTGGCCTGAAGGCATGCTGTAGAAGGGAGCTTTGATGCCTAGTTAAAATCTGCATCAAAAGCAGCTTCTGATTTCCTTGCTCTAGCTGCTGGAAAAGTGAATTGTCTGACCCAAGACTGACTTGGGCAGAGCAGGTGCAATCATTGTTATGCAGCTGTGGATCTCTCCCATACTCCTGGTTTTCTGACTAAACCGTAGTAAGCCCTCTTCTTCTTTGAACAGTACAAGGCTCAAGATCCACTCAGACTAAGAGAGCCCCTTGGTTTGTTATACAAGCAGCAGCATTTAATGGTGTTCTTACAGGCTTCCTCTATGCTTCCATTCTGGTAGGTTCTCAGAAATGCAGTCAGCTGACTTGCAGAAAATGCCTTCACATCTTCCAGCAACCTTTTTTTTTTTAATGTTTCTTTTAACAAGCAAGTGCAGCACCTGGGGGTGGGGGGTAATAACCAAATGGCACAAGAGGCTTCAGACAGTTTAATTAAAATATTATTTCCACAGTGTTAAAGTTCTCTCCAGCTCCAAAGCTCTATAAGTGAAATGTTATGTACATTTTTTCCTTCCCCAAATGGGACACTGCTGTAAGACCATGACCCCAGCTTGCACTTTAATAAATGGTACAGTTTTCAAAAACAATGTGTGGACCTCTTCTTATGCTAGTTCCCTTCTGTCATCCTGTGTGCACCACCCCAAAGGCATTCCCGTAATCCAAATCCTCTCCCTTGGGCTGAGAGCATGCTGTTTAACTGAGGTAATGGTGCAGTCTGGTGTAGACAACCCCTTGGATTGCTTGCTCTTGCTAGGTGCTCAGCAAAATCCAGCTAGCCACATTCTCCCACCACCCTTTCAGCTCCAGTAAATGAAAAGGCTCATATTTCCCTTTGTTGTCTGCTATCCCTCTAAAAAGGAATCACTTTATAAAATTCAACAGAAACCTTAGGAAAAATTGATAAACTTCCAAGGACAATGGAATGCAGGAGACTGAATTCAGGTTTTTTTTTTTAAGCACTTTCTTGCACACCCAGTTTGAAAATGGATAACAGCTGCACTGACAATTTTATTAAGTATAAAATATTTACAGATAAAATAAGAAACAGCAACTCAGTTTAGTTTACATAAACTGTCAAGTTGAGACTGTGCATTCCTGGTAGGCCCACCAGCAGAGGCTCTAGGCATAAGTTAAAGATGATCAAGGTTGCCAGCCTCTTAGTCATTGACTACATGGAAGGACCTATTGAGTGGAAATTAAAGCTAGTGTGTGTCATGCTCAAGTATGACCAGATGAATGTTAATTCTGTTGCTTTTCTATAACTTTGCACATCTAAATCAGACACCATCCAGAGGCTCCCCTATTGATGTGCCTAGGGAAAAAACCCTGAGCGTATAGTTTACTCAAGAATTAGCTTGTATTTCCAAAGGTATGTCTTCATTAAAGGCACACCACTAAGTGTTAGGTGGTTGTCTCAACCCAGGCTGGCTAGCTAGCACACAGCATAGGGGGTGAAATCCATTGCCCTAACGACTACTGCTCAGAGAGGTGGATTACCTATCATGATGGGGGTGCAGAGAAATGCTTGTCCTTGTGAGAACAGGCCATACTACACTAGCATAGCTTTTCCAGGATAGCGTGCACAGTAGGGACGTTAACCTAACCTCTGCTTTTACTCGGTAACCCACCCGTTTTGTAGTGAGGCTAAATCCCTTGCAGTTGATTAGGACAGCATCTGAGGACCGTGCTCGGATAGACTAGAAGGGCTCGGCTTACTGCAGCACAAAAGAACAATAGGCCTTGCCTCCAGCAGACCTAGCACCATAGACATAAGAGCACAGCTTTGAAGTATAGGTATGCTGTGTGACTGCTCACACCTGGGTTAACCCTGCAGGGAAGACCTACCCTAACAGACTCACTGCCAACAGATCCTATCCCCAGTGCATGGGATAATGACCTAAAGTTTCAGTAAACACACCTGAGTGCACTGCCAACTGGCACTTCCTCCTAAGTCTTGGTGCTGGTGAAGACCTGTATGTCCCATTCAATATTTGGTAAAAGAAAGTAACAGGCAAGCAATAGTCCTACATGTCTCTGCTGAACAATCGCACAGCTTGAACAGTTCTCCTGTGTTGATCTCTGAAAAACCTAAAACATAACTAAGGGGTTGTGCTTCCCCCTTCACAGCGGCATTGCAAAAGAATTTAAACGAGGAAAAAAAGCAAAGTTTTAACGTTTAAAGTAAATACTCAAGAAGCAATCTTCTCCACAGACGTCAACGGCACTGGCTCCGCTCTCATTCAACTCTAAAGGGGATACAGAACAGGGGTTAGCAAAGGCAGCAAGACTGTATACATATTCTTAGTGAAATCCCTGTTATTCTTCTCTAAGGGAGAGCCTGACTCAGTCACAAATTCATCACCACGAGAATGGAGAGATTTTAAAAAGGAGCTACTGGAGAGGAATTTGCCCCTCAACCTGCTGTTTTTAATGACCACCACCCCATTTCTGTGTTCATAGCAACATACCTTATGGCCCTTCTGGGAAATTGGTGCTATTTATGACTCCACCTGCCAGATTTCTGTCATTCTAAGGCCTGATCTACAAGCAAAAGTTTTGCCAGCATAATCAACAAAATTATGAGTGACAAAAAAGTCAGCCCTACTGACACACAGTTGTGCTAGTGAGAAGCTCTAGCGCAGAGGCAGCTATACTGGCCCCAAAAAAGTCCTTTTGCTGGTATAGCTTATTTCATTTGGGGAACTGGTATAAGCTGCACGAGCCACAGTTCTGTTACCAATATGAGCTGGGTCTATATTAGAAAGAGTCTGCTGGTATAGCTACACATTCTAGTGCAGGCAAGACTTAAGTGTCAGCCAGGGAGCTAAAGGGCTGGTTCTCATGGCAGGAGCCCCACCCAGACACCTTCTCTTCTTCCCATCTAAATCTTGGGGATTGGCAATACACACCTGTGGATCTGTTTCTGCAGTATTAACCTGTAGGGAACTGGTTCTGTTGCATACTCTAGCAATAAGCTGCCCCAAGCACTGCATTAAAGTTTGAGTCACCTGAGAAGTGTCACTCTCATTTGGCCTTGTGCCACCACTCAAGACAGGTAGGCACTGGTAACCCACTAACACACCTGCCAGTCAGTTTTCAGACACAATTATTGTAGCCAACAGAGTCTAAAAGCTAAAACAACTATGGTCCAAATCCTGACCCCACTGCACAGCCTGAGGAGCTGTTCTGGAGCCACTGCACTATGTCCCATAGCTCATGTGCCCTCCCTGTGTTTGTGCAGGAGGAGAGAGAAGAGCTTGTGGATCTGAATAATTCCAGAAACGCTATACCTGCAGACTAGGATGCAGCTCAGCTCTACAGTGCAGACAGTACTGACCACCTCCCAAGGATCCTGCCATGCACACCTCCATCCCCTTCTGCCGTAGAATGACACTGCACCCTTTGCTCTCAGGTGCTTCCATGTCTAAAGACTAGGGGGGCAAGTTTGCCCGTGTCAATGCACCATCACTGCCAAGGTTTCAAATTCCCAGTGGTACACTATGGGCAAAGTAGTTATTTTATAAAGACAGTTCCTTATTTATCAGAGCCCAGCTGCCTCTTCAGTAACAGCTTGGTTTAGCGCTCACTTTCTATGTCTCCGGCTTTGAAAACACCACCTCATCAGGACACTTTCAACTACAAATATTGGCTCACTGTCACTCCAACTGTGTGTTAGCTCCACAGACAGAAAAGAAAAATGGTGTCACTGTTTAAACATTTCCCCATCCTCTCCTTGCTGTAGCTGACCCTGTGGCACTAAAATTACTTTTACCACTTAGAGTGGCGGTTTCAGGTGGGAAACAGAGAGATAAGGGGAACCCAGCAGGACAGAAATGGGTGCAGAGACGAGTGGAACATGATCAGAATAGGGGCTTAGTCTGGGAAACTACCTTCCTTGCCCTGGAGGAACTGATCACTCCTGGGCCCATCTATGCCACTCCCAGGAGAAGCTGCTGTGAGAACATGTGACTTACTATTCACACTTCCCCTTGCCTAAAGGCACAGACCTAGTGGACACACTGTGCTGGTGGAGGTCAACCTTTGGATTTGAACTCAGGTGAGCAAGTGGGTGGAGCTGCAAGTTTCTCACACAGCTCCCCCCGCAACTCCCCTTGGCCAGACTCATCCCCCAACAGTATCAGTACCTAAGCAGACTGGGACTCCAGCTCCTGCAGCAAAGCCTTAAGCGGCTAAGTAGAGACCATTGATTCTATAGGAATATAGATAGCAATTAGAGATGGAGGGAGCTCTGCTAGATCACATACAATCGCAGTCCCATCCCCAGCCAGGATTATTCCCTAAACTGCTTTGTCCAGAGCTGAGTTAGCAGGCTTCTGCCACTTTTCTTGGAAGACTCCCACAGCTTAAGTGACAGTTTGATGATTCTTACTTGTTATCCCAGGTTAACAATGTAATTGTGGAGGTTCTGGTTGATGTAATTCACAGTGGTGTTAAAGACACGGTGTAGAAGGGATGGCATTTTGTTTGCTACTGTTCTGGCTAAAACCATCGCTAGCACCAACATGGCTTTCTCCTGCTCCATTTCCAAAGGTATGGTTCTCACAAGCCCCTCCACTGTATTAGACAGACGTCTCATTATCTCCTGAACAGAGGGGAAAGAAAAATTACAGTAAATAAAATATCCCACTACGGCCTGTAAGAGTGACAAAACTTTCACCCACCTAACTGCCCCAAAACACTGCTACAATCCCTTCAATGCAGAAGCACACAGACTCATACTGGGTGGCATTTCACACCTTGAGTGGCTTTTACGCAATGGGGGTCACCGTCATGAACTGTAGGATTTACACAGAACAGAAGTTACATATAGTGCTGGTAAATTTAAATCTATCTTTACAAACATGAAGTGAGATGTGGTCCCTGCCCTGAAGAGCATACACACACATTGCCAGATCCTGAAAGGTGCTGGGTGCCCTCCCACTGGCCTGGGCCCTAGATTAGACAAGGCAAAGACCTAGGACAACAGAGCAGGTGGTGGAGGGTATCGATGAGAAATTAATCCAGACGCTGCTCTGGATCACTGAAAAATACATATATCCCCAGCAACACAATCTAGATCGGTGGTGTGCAAACTGATGTTGACCGTCCATAGGCGCAGCCCCCCGCAGCCACTGGGAGCTGGGGGGCTGTGCCTGCGGACGGTCAACTTCAGCAAAATGTCTCGCAGCCTGCAATCAGATTACCCTGATGGGCTGCATGCGGCCCGCAGGTTGCCCACCACTGATCTAGATGCTGCACAAACTAAGATGCGTAACTACTTTGACAAAGCAATGCACAAAAAACTTAACTAGTCCCAAGCAAAGAAGGTGCATGTCACTGCCTCCTACATTGCTGGAGTTTAAAAGTTTTATACCAAGGTCATAAATTGGAGGCCTAACAAGGTCTTGAGCACTCACAGCTGCCACTGAAGGTCTGTGGGAAATGCGGCTACTCAGAGTCTTTCCGGACCAGACTGTTAGAGTTTATACAACAAGGGGTTTTATTATATGAATAGACAGATTGTTTAAAATAATCCAGCATTGTCTACCACACCCCAGTTGCTGAGAGTTTGACTCTGGAGCATAATAGATCACACACTGCATTTGCCTGTAACTTGCACAGAGGAGATGCTTGGGAAACATACCATTCTGGGCAAGAGTGGATGAGCGCCAAAAGGCCACTTATCTGAAGATAACGGAGAGCTCCAAGGAGGTGAACAAAACTGACTAACAGATCTAGATCTGGGTCCTTCTGAGAGGAAGGATGGTTTATGGCTAAAGCACATGAGTGGAGTTGGAAGAGCTGGAAGAGTTCCTTCCTCTCAGGGTTTTCTGCAACTCCCAACACTGTAGTATCTCAGGGTTGCGGAGTTTCTGCAACTGATAGTATTACATAAGCACCAGAGTGCTGAGCTGTGTACATGAAACAGCTGAGGGTTTTACAGTCTTAACAAATGCACAAGGTTCAGTGTTATCTAAGTCACTTAGGGCACATCTACACCACAAAAGGCAAACTCAACCAAAAAAACCCCAAACACACAGCAGCGAGTCTCAGAGCCCTGATCTTCAGGCTAAAATGGCAGTAGAGTGGAGATGTTCCTGCTCAGGCTGGAGCCCAAGCTCTGAAACCTGATGATGGGTGTGGCTCTCAGAGCCTGAACTCCAGCCCAAGTGGGAATGTCTACGCTGCTATTTTTAGCTCTACAGCGTGAGCCCCAGACAGTTGACTCAGACTCTGAGACTTGCTGCTGTGGGATTTTTTGCAGTGCAGTTGGGGCCTGATTTTCAGGAGGTGCTGAGTCCTTGCAACTCCCACTGACTTTAGTGGCCACAGAGCGCTAAGCACATCTGAAAGTCAGGCCCTTTGTGCTTTAGCTTCCTCACTGCAAGATGGGGATGTCAACACTCCTGGACCTACCTCTCAAGATGTTGTGAAGCTGCTGTAATATTTTCTGGAATCTTTACATGGAAGGTACATGCAAAGGATGGATTCTTGAACTGGTCATACCGAAAGTAACAAACTACCTAAAACAACAATCCAGGCAACTCTCCGTTCTTGCTGATCACATCCAGAGATATCTGTTACATTTTCATCCTTCTTTAGTTACTGCTAATCAGCTGAATTCCTCACTTACCTCTTTGGACAGATTCTCATTCACAAATTGCTGCACTAGATCATTTACTACTCTTGGTTGGATCTCCCTAGCCACTTGGTCCCCAATCTCAGCAAGCTGAGCTCCAATGAGCCGGAAAATGTCCTCATCAACCACAGAATCTAATTCCAGAAAAACAAAGAGATGGTTTTAAACAGGATTTTGTTCACATACAGACATGACCAAATCTAGGCCCAGTGCAGGTGTACAACAGGCTCAAGTACCCCAAAGGCGCTCTCGCGGTCATTTGCGCACAGCACCTCTCCCCACAAAGCGTTAGAAACTACTACATGCCCCAGGGATCATGCCATTCATCACTGACATGCAGCCACCTCTGAGGTGGAACACGATAGCCCTGAATAGAGAGCTGAATGTCCAGCAGCACTACGTAACAGCTCAGGAGAAATATTATCTCACCCAAATGATACTGCCGGGGGAATTTAAAATATAGCTACTGAAATGAAATTTGGCCAGCTCACTGTAGTAACACCCTCATCCTGGAGGAAAAGAATCTTTCTTTTCTTTTCACGTGATCTTTCACAACCATGGTCAGGACCTCTTACATCTCATCTAGACTACAACATCTCTATGAGCAGAGCCACCTCTGACACCATGCTGGGGCCATTAGTTCAATACTGATTTGGAGGGCAGAGTGCCACCTACTATAAACACCAGATTTATCTGAGCAATCACCCATCCAAGAGATAAGCAGGCCCAGCCCTGCTTAGCCTATGAGACTGGATGAGATCACAGCCCAAGGTGGTATAGCAATGCCCCTGGGGGCACTACCCTGTAGACAAGAGTCAGTACTATTCCTATGTCATGAGCCATCTTTGGATACTGTTTCCTCTTCACACAGGCAAAGCAAAATGTGGTGAATTTCAGCCCAAATAGCAGAGAGACGAGTTGTTCCTAAAGTCCCAGTTCTAAACTAGCTAACAGGTGCCAAGTACCCAAACACTTTTTAAAACTCAAGGCCTAAAAAGGAGACTGGGGTTTGGGGCTCCATTATGGCAAACTGCAAGTGCGTGGGAGAAAAGGCATCTAGGTACTATGGAGAAGAGTGCTCCAGAAATACCTAGACAGGTAAGATAAGGTGCTAAGCATCAGCTGTACCATGTGACCTGAGAAAGCCCAATACGTTAACATCCAGAGCTACAGCACAGCAATACTCCGCAGAGAAAATACTCCCTGTACCATTCCACTACAGAAGAGATCAGCTTCAGAACAGTGGGATAAGGGGAAGAGGAGAGCACTTACCTGGCTCACCATTCGAAAACCGGCCACTCCGATTCCCATCTGTCTGAAGCTCCCCATCATCAAACTCATCAGAGAGAAAGTTTTTTGGTGGGGAAACCATCACCTGGCTTCTCAGAGAATCCAGCTCTTCTCTGAAATCACAGTTGTGACAGTTCTGCAGAAAGGAATACACGAGGATGCGCTCCACCTGTACATCGCCACGCAGACCCTAAAAATATGCACCAATAAGTCATCATGAATCTGACAGCCAACAAGACACTCCTGCCTGAGAGGACTGTTTTCCACCACTGTCTCTCTGTTGTGAACCTCCTCCAGGAGCCTGAAATAATGTTAACCGAAGAGACTGTATAGTTGCATGACTGCATTCTGATTGTCATGGCTTTGTTTATGTGTAGGACCTACAGAAAGTGCTGCATGATTTTTGTTTTTACTAATCCATTGATGGAAGGATTAATTTAAGATTCTCCATGTATTTCAAGCTGGAGTTTAAAACTACCATTTAAAAACATGTACCTACACAAACTCAGACCATAAACCTGTTACCTTGAATTTGGGAATTGATTATTCTATTTCCTGTTATAAACATAAGCAATGGATGCCCATTTACTATTTAAAAACAAGCAATGTGAGATATTAACCAGGGGGGCGTTCTCACACCAAAAAAATACAGACTCTTCAAAAGTTAAGAGCATCATCTTTCATCTCACTGTTTGACTGGGACCCAGACAAGGTCAATAATGATCATGTTCAGCTAGCATCAGAAAGAGAGCAGACAGCTTGAGTCTGATCTCAGATATGCAGGCACACCCATCCACACAGACTGGGGAATGAGCTGCCTGTATGGATAGCAGCATGTTGGCAGAAAGTCCAAGCTGTACAGAAACATGGTGCCTGCAAACCCAAACTTGCACAGGGACTAGGAACCAAAACAGGTTCAGACTGAGCATCCCCAAATTATTAAATGTTAAATAATACACTTTTTTTGGCCTATATTTGAAAAAGTGACTAAAGTTGAGCACCCAAAAAATCACTAGATAACTCAAAAAGACGCCTGATTTTCAGAGGGTCGGGGCAGAGGGAAATCACACGTCTTAAGCTGGACACACAAGATCACCAGTCACTTCTGAAAATTTAAACTGAATGCATTTTGAAACATAAAACCTTTTGGAACTGACCTGATCCATGCTGGCTGCTGGGACAGTGCAGCTGTGTTAACCTTAACTTTCAACCCACAAGTCCTTTCCCTGCAAGGGAACAAAAGGAAGATGCCAACAAGCCTGCAAGCCACTTTGTCCAGAGATTCTCTTTGACAAGCCCTTACTAATCCAGCCCTGCTTTGCAGAGCATGGGGCTTCCCCAGGAACACATGCTTGGTGATTTGGCAGTCATAGGGAAGGCTGTGAACACGGGACCAGATGAGCAAGTAGGCCCCTTTTTAGGAGTGAAGAAAGGTGGGATAGGAGGACACAATGCCTCCCCTCACCGGTAGCATTATGAATAGGCATGATAAGGGAGAGGCCTGGGGGCTGACAATCACCATGACAGCAAGTGACCTAGGAAGGAACAGGGGCTTTTAGAGTCAGGGCGTTCTGCCTTAGCTTGGGCCAGCTGTTGGAATGGAGAGCAAGTTTAGCTCCAGGTGGACCTCTGGCCTGGCTATTGAAGGATCCACGATGCCCTAATTACCAAGTCATTAGGTTCGTGGTAAGGGTATTTTAGGGGCTTCCTGCCTTTAACTGTGGGACACTCCTGTTCATTTATAAGTGAACCAGCCTGAGCCAGCCAACCTTGCACTACCCCTGGGGAGCACCTAACACACAGCCTACCCCTAGGTGTACAGGAAATAACCCAGTTCAAGTACCTGGTGTTGTCGAGAGTCAAGCTGTTTGTATCCTGCCAAAGGCCTCCGATCACGTTTAATGAAAGCTCCTTAGCACAGCCATGCCACTGATACAACTCCAGGAAAACCTAGACGGGAAACATGAGCAATCAGTCACAAACAAACCGTTTTCAGAAAAAAACGAGGACTCCTTGTGGCACCTTAGAAACTAACAAATTTATTTGGGCATAAGCTTTCGTGGGCTAAAACCCACTTAATCAGATGCATGGAGTGAAAAAAACAGTAAGCATAATATGTATTATAGCACATGAAAAGATGGGAGTTGCCTTACCAAGTGCGGGGGTCAGTGCTAATGAGCCAATTCAATTAAAGTGGAAGTGGCCTATTCTCAACAGTTGACAAGGGGTGAATACCAAGGGAGAGAAAATTACTTTTGTAGTGATAATGAGGCCAATGCAATCAAGGTGTCCCATTTCCAACAGCTGACAAGAAGGTGTGAGTATCAGACGACGGAAAATGACTTTTTGTAGTGACCCATCCACTCCCAGTCTTTATTCAGTCCTAATTTGATGGTGTCCAGTTTGCAAATTAATTCCAGTTCTGCAGTTTCTCATTGGAGTCTGTTTTTGAAGTTTTTTTGTTGAAGAACTGCCACTTTTAAATCTGTTATTGAGCAAACAGGGAGACTGAAGTATTCTCCTATTGGTTTTTGAATGTTACAATTCTTGAGAATTTCAGAAAGGCAGCATCACAAACGCCTGGAGCTCCCTCTGCAGGAACAGGGGGACTTCTACTTAGTTTTCTGAAGGAGTTTAGTGCAAGTGAATAGTGCCAAACGCTGAGCTCTGAACTGCTCTCTGTCCAAAGAGCAGATACTGTGTGGGCTTCAGTGTTGCAAGCTGGCCCCACATCTCAGCCGATGTACACCAAACCTGACCTGGCTGGGCCCAGCTGTAAGGGGAGATAGGAGTTTTGTCTCCAACTCCACTAACTCTTGGTCTCTGTTCTGAGTGTGCCAGCTGTGGTGGTGGTGTTTGTTTGTGTTTGTTTTGCAACGTGGACACCCAGAATGGACTGGCGGCACCAGGACACTTCTGATATGATCTTCCAGTCATCACTGACCAGCACTAGCTTTAAACTTTGCCCCACTCCATAACACACACTCACATCTGTCCTGGCCCCTGTTGGAGCAGTTTAAGGTAGTGAACAAAACTCTGCATTAAAATGACTCAGAGTGGAGGTGGAAAAGAGGAAGTGAACAAAAGCAGAAACTTACAAACTCAGAAGCAAACCACAAGGAGACACAAATTGTTCAGGAAAGAAAAGGTATTTCCCAGCTTTTTGGAGGGTTTTTACAGGTTTGTGATTTCAACCAACCCCACATACAAATACTTGGGCAGCAGTTCTTTTAGCCATGATTTCTCAGAATTTACTTGGTTCCATCTAACAGCCACACGTTAACCAGTTAGGTCTCGGATAAAATTTGTGACTCTGCATCAGACCGTTGGTCCATCTAGTTCAACACTCTGTCTCAGTCAGTGACCCACAACATATGTGATGTAAATGTGCCAGACCAGCTGTGTCATGGAGGAGGCAAAAGGACCTCCTTTCTATTCTCCTCCTGAAACCAAAGAAAACTCCCCAGACTCCATTTTGTACCTCTGGCTTCCATTTTAAATAAGGGTCACTCCATGATTAAGTGAAAGCTGCACATCACACAGACTAAAAATAAAATTGGTGGGAAAACCAAAGTAGGGGAAAGGTCAGCAGATCATAACTATGAGGTAAACAACAATTGCAGGCTAAAAACAGAACTAACGGTTTGGAATGATTGGCAGTTGGCATGCACCCAAGAAAGATCTGACAGGAAGATATTAACAGAAGTGTCTAAAAAGTTCTGACAGGACAGTATAAAAGTCACTATGTCTCAGTAGACAGCTGACGACAAAGCAGAGAAAGAAGCAGCACCACCACCGCCAGAGGGAATCCTGTCAATAGAGCAAAGTCAGCAGACAAAATAAGCTTGTCACTCAAAGTTAGAGTCATGGCATAGGATAAGAGAGAGAGAGAGAGAGTGTGTGTGTGAGAATAAAGATGAATGTATGTGTGTTGATTGTGGAGAAAATGTTTATATGTAAAACTAAAGAACCGTTATCAATTGCTGTCAGCAACCTGCAGCAGACTGGCCATTGGAAACAGGGTGCAGCCACTTGGGAACATTTCAAAACCGCAAGGCAATACGGTTTGGGGTGCTCTTTGACTTGCACCAGTAAAAAGATGCTGGGTTTTGGAAAGAACACTGTTTTGTGCCAATTATTTATCAGAAGGTTGTATCCATGTCCTTCAGGTATTTCCTTAGCCATCCTGGAGACCCAGACCTTAGGAAAACAGGTTGGTTAATAAGTAGGCTGTTTTGAGGGAACCCTGGCTAAACCCGGGACAGGGTGAGAAGTGAGCTATTCTAGGGACACCCTAATTCTATTTTCGAGACCCTGGAACAGGTTGTTTGATCACCCTTTTCTTAGGCCTTGTCTTCAGTACAAAAAAGCATGTTGTTAATATGAGGTAAAATCCTAATGAAGACAAGGCAGTTTGTAGTTTTCACACAAGCTAGCAGGTGGAGGTAAACCCTGGGCTCCCCATAGTCTTTAACTTGACTCACTAATTCATGTGGAAACTACAAACTGCATAATTTTCATGAGGATTTTACTTCGTGTTAGCTAACTTGAGATAAGAACACATCTTTTTTTAAGTGAAGGAATGATGGCCCACCCCACTACTAAAGGGCTAAAGTTAACAGTGCCACGCTATAATTAATGTCCCTAAACAGTCTCTCAACTTTAAATGTACACTGTACCATCATGATATGGTTGTTTTGGGTGGGGGTTGGGGGGGGGGAGAGAAGGGGATTAAGCTAAGAATATGGAAAGGTAGTCCTGTGTGACTGCCTATTCACCATAAGGCTTGTCTTCACTGCAGAAGTAACCTGGCCTCTTACTCAGGTGTTGCCTGTAACTTGATTCCTGTTCACACATAAAAACCACCCTCCATCAGAGGGAGAATCTCAGCTTTCAAGTGGTATCAAGGAATTTCTACATCTGCTGTTCTGCAAGATAGTGGAAACAGTTAAAACCATAGTGGAGTTGAATTGTGGGGGGAAAAGCAAAAGGGTAATCCAAATGATGTGTTTTAAAACCATGAGTGTCACATTTATCTTCATATGTGTTCTTATATATTAATAAAAATAATACATTCAGGAAAACATAAAGGCTAATATCTGTAACTCTGCTGCGATCCCTGCTCCCTGAGAAGCTTGCTAGTGCATGGTTATACAAGCATAGAAATATAGGGCTGGAAAGGACCTCAAGAGGTCATCTAGTCCATCCCACCTTGGATGGGGTAAGATCAAGTAAACCTAGACCATCCCTGACAGGTGTTTGTCCAACCTATTCGTAAAACCCTCCAATGATGGGAATTCCACAACCTCCCTTGGAAGCCTATTCCAGTGCTTAACCACCCTTATAGTTAGAAAGGGTTTCCTAATAGCTAATCTAAATCTCCCTTGCTACAAATTACGCTGATTACTACTTATCCTACCCTTGGTGGACAATTGATCACCATCCTCTTTATAACAACCATTTAGGTATATGAAGACTTATATCCCCCCTCTCAGCCTCCTCTTCTCTAAACTAAACATGTTCAATTCTTTCAGCCTTTCTTCAGATGTCCGGTTTTCTAAACCCATCATCATTTCTGTTGCTCTCCTCTGGACTTTCTCCAATTTTGCCACATCTTTCTTAAAGTGTGGCAGTCAGAACTGGACACAGTACTCCAGCTGAGGCCTCACCAGCACTGAGGAGAGCAGGACAATTACCTCCCATGTCTTACATAATGTAGCTAGGAAAGAACTAAATAACTGCTTTATTCCAGGTATTTCAAAAAACAGGCTTGTAATCTGAAGAGTCTCACTAGTATAAACACATACTCTTAATATGTTCCAGCGACAGCCAGCTAACTCTCATCACCATGTTTCCCCCACCACGACATACACCTTATACTCCAGCTTATTTAAATGCCTAAGGAACCATTTGAAACGTTGGAAGAATTATTGTTCTAGATAAACAAACTTCACCTTCTGTATGAATTTCACCCTGAGGGACAGGAATAATATAATTGCATAGCAGCTCTGACATTGTTTGGACATGACTCATCATATCCCAGGGCTGTAATCTCCAGCTCGCGTACACGTACTGCGGTCATTAGATGAGAGCAAGCGTGAGTATAAACAGTAGTGTAGCCGTGGTAGCATGGGCAGTGGCAACACTGCTCAGTCATGCCAAGGGCAACCTTGCCGGGACCCTGTGGATACTTGCTCCAGAAAGCTCAGTGGTGCTGCCATGGCCGCTGCCCATGCTACCATGGTTGCACTACTATGGATGATGAGACCTAGCGTGAGTATGCGTATGCAAGCTGGGAACTGCACTCCTAGCTTGGCATGTAAAGGTAGCCTAAGAAAAAACACTTAATACTTAATATAACAATAAGCCACTCCACTTAAAAACTCATCTCGTTAATTTAAATGCAGAATTGGGAGCCATAAACCAGGTTTCAGTTCAGTTAAGAGCAGCTTGTCTAGTGCTGCCTGTGACTGCAGGTTGGTATCTGGAGCCATTTCGCTTTGAAGCCCCACTGCTAGACTCCCAGCGTATAAAAATGGAGCATATCCATTCAGCCTCAGTTAGCATCCTTGCAAAAACATATCGCTGTTCTTTCAGACATACATTCCAGGATCTGCATGAGCTCTGCTCCTAGCCCACAGTCTGAAGCATCTTCAGTTGGCAGTGCAAGGAAACTGTAGAACAAGGGAAGTGCTAGGCTTCTGTTTTTCCTGTAGTGCCTAGCAGCCCCAGTCACAGACGAGGACCCTGTTGTGCTGGCTGCTGTACAAACAGAAAACAGAGAGATGGTTCTAAAACTGCTTAGCAATCAGTTCTTCAAAATGAGACTGAGTAGCATTGTCCAAAGAAAGCTAGTTACCAGGTAATTATGGCTCACAACCGTGGCACCATTTGGGAATAAACTCTGTAACAACAGCACATAAGTCCCAGAAAAGGCTAGAAGGTAGACA